CCTTGCATTGTGGGGACATAACAGTGTTGTTTCTTGCATGGTGTAAAGGTAACAGTGTTATTCCTTGCATTGTGTAAAGGTATATTCCTTGCATTGTGGGCACATAACAGTGTTGTTTCTTGCATGGTGTAAAGGTAACAATGTTATTCCTTGCATTGTGTGGACATAACAGTGTCGTTCCTTGCATTGCATAGATGTGACAATGTTATTCCTTGCATTGTGGGGACATAACAGTGTTGTTCCTTGCATTGTGTAAAGGTAACAATGTTATTCCTTGCATTGTGTGGACATAAGAGTGTTATTCCTTGCATTGTGTGGACATAGCAATGTTATTCTTTGTGTTGTGTAAAGATAGCAATGTTATTCCTTGCATTGTGTGGACACAACAGTGTTGTTCCTTGCATTGCATAGACATGACAATGCCATTCCTTGCATTGTGCAGACATAACAGTGTTATTCCTAGCATTGCATGAAGATTGCAATGTTATTCCTTGCGTTGTATGGACATAACAATGATATTTCTTGCGTTGCGTGGACATTACAATGCTATTCCTTTCCTTGTGTGGATGTAACAATGTTATTCCTTGAATTGCATAGACATCACAATGCCATTGCTATCATTGTGTGGATGTAACAATGTTATTCCTTGCATTGTGTGGGTGTAACAGTGTTATTCCTTGCACTGTGTGTGGACATAACAGTGTTATTCCTTTCCTTGTGTGGATATAACAGTGCCATTGCTTGCATTATGGAGACATCACAATGTTGGTCCTTGCATTGTGGAGACATAACAATAACATCCGCCAAATCCACACTACAGGTATCCCTCTGTCAGACAACAGTGAAAGGTATCCCTTTTTTGTGGATTTTGGATGTTATTGTTATGCTTCCACAATGCAAAGATATGTTTCCATTGTGTGGATATTTGCATGGTTGTGTTTCCACTGGTAGATTGGGAATAGGCCTCGGTTGTGGTTGTGGTTGTCTGTAAGAAATCCTGGCAAGGATTCATCCCAATGGACTGGCTTTGTCTTCTGTCTAAATATCCCTTCCTCTTTTTCCATTTTGTGCCAATATCCCAAACCAACCTACAATAGAAACCGAACAAAGGGTTGCATGCTATTTTAATGGGGTACACAGAAAAAGTGTATGTGTAACCACCTTTTGTCCATTGGGTTGTGTCCTGTTTGTTGAATTTTATCCAAACACTGTACAGGTTGAGTCTCTTGTCTCTGGAATTCTGAAATCCGAACAAAATCCAAAGTTGTTTGTGGCTGAGAGAGTGACACCTTTGTTTTCGGGGGGTTCAGTGTTTATACAGAATTATTACAGATCTTATGGACAGAGTTACCTTTGGGCCATGTGTACCAGGTGTCTGTTGTTACTGTTGTTGTGTGCCTTCAAGTTGTTTCCGATGTAAGGCGACACTATTGCAGGGTTTCCTTGGCAGGTTTTGTCAGAGGATGCTTGCCCTTGTCGTCCTCTGAGGCTCAGAGAGTGTGACTTGCCCAGGGTCACCCAGTGAATTTCAGTGGCTGAAATGGGATTCAAACCCAGGTCTCCAGATTCATATTCCAGTACTCAAACCACTATCCAGCTGGCTCTCATAAGGTATATATAAAACTATTACTACTACTTATTATTGTTATTATTATTACTATATTTATTTATATCCAGCTTTTTCCCCAAGTTGGAACACAAAGCGGCTTCCAATTTTAATTAAAAACAAACATCAATGATGGAGATGCACTTATAGAGACGAACACTGTTCTAGGCAATGTTCTTGCTTGCAGATGTTTCCTCCTTGCCCTGAAGAATGGAGAAGAAAGGCCAGGCTTTGAGATCTGGGAAATCTGGGTCCAAAACACACTGCAAAAATAATCCAGTCTGACACTGCTTTAACCTCCCTGGCTCACTGTTAGGGGATTCTGGGAACTGTAGTTTTGTGAGACATATAGCATTCTCTAGATCGGTGGGATTCGGTGTTTTATGTTCTGCTTAATATATCTGTATGGAAATTTTAATGTTGTAAGCCACCCCGATTGCTCTGCACAGGGGCGAGATATAAATTATTATTATTATTATTATTATTATTATTATTATTATTATTATTATTATTATTATTTGAAAGAGCCCTAGAGCTCTCCCTAGCATTGAGCCAGGGCAATTAAAGTGGTCTCAAACTGGATTATTTCTGCAGTATGTTTTGGACCTTACTTATACCACTTCTTTTGCTCTGCACAAGCATCTCTTATTATTATTTTTTTAGAGCCCATGTAAGCTGCATCCACATGGCTGAAATAGTCCAGTTTGACCCCACCTTAACTGCCCTGGCTCCATACTATGGGTTCCTGGGAATTGTAGTTTGTTTTGGCACCAGAGAAGGCTCAGTGTTGCCCAAAACTACAGTTTCCAGAATTCCATAGCATGGAGCCATGGCAAGTTAAAGCAGTATCAAACTGGATTATTTCTGTTGTGCAGATGAAGCCGTAGATAACAGTAAAACATCCAGGTCTCAATTTGTGAAATATACTTTAGGGAGAAAAGTACAGCACAAGAGACAGAGCCTTTTGGGGAAGCCAAAGGTTTGAATGGCTATAGCATGCAACCCTCCACATTTTGTTGGACTTTAACACCCATCATCCTCTTCTATTAGCTATGGTGGTTAGGTATGCAGAGACTTGCATTTCAGCATCACCTGGAGAATTGCACTTTCCCTGAGGCAGGGTAGTTTTTAAAAGGTTGTTTAGGTAAAAGAATCACAAGGAAGAGGGGAGGATGGGATATGCAATCATGGATCCCCCCATTTATGCCCTTTCTTCCTACGAAAAGTTTATGAAATTTACAAACAGGGCAGAAGCTTATGTAGGTTAGTGTAGTGGTCTGAGCATTAGACTTTGACCCTGAAGATCAGGGTTCGAGTGCCGCTCAGCCATGGAAACTCTCAGTCCCCAAAAAACTATGATAGGTTTGTCTTATGGTCACTATAAGTTGGAGATGACTTGACACACAAGAGCAACAAATGTATTTTAAAATAGTTTTATACTTTTTACCCAGTAGCTTTTATTATTATTATTATTATTATTATTATTATTATTATTTGTAAAACTGGGAGCCATCCCACTCTGGTCGAAAGGCAGCATACAATTGCAATAAATAAATATAAATAAATCAGTCAAGTCCATCTTTATTTACAGCCAATAGACCAAGCAAGACATACTATAAATTAAAACCA